ATTGGAATAAATTTTCAGATGACCATGAAGCAGTAAGTGCATTGAAAGTAGCTGATATTGATGGACAATTAGTTACACTTGATGGTCGTCGTCTGTTGGTTGCGCAAAATGCAGAATTGAAATTTGTACCAATTCTTATTGTTCAGTTAGATGATCGGCGAACTGGTACTAATCATACATGGCGAAAAGCGTTCGAAAAGTGACTTGGTAATGATGATTTTTTACCAAGTCGAGGAACATCAGAGAAACCAAGAATTACGTAACTTTCAATCTTCTTTCAGTTGTTTTTCTCTAAAGATTTTTTTTTCATTTGTTTACAAATAGAAACCCTTGAATATACAAAGACAAATGTTGCAGAGTAAAAGACTTCTTATATCTCGTACTATCGTACAATAAATCGTCTGTTCTACGGCTGAGCCAGCTAATTCAGCTTCCGGAGTGAAATTCCCGAGTGAAATTCCAGACACGCATGAAATCGTCCTATAAAACGGCCGATACATCGTAATGTGTTGGGCGATGCATCGTGAGATATATCGATCAATTCATCTATTTAAACATCGTTTTAAGTCAATTCCATTCCATCCTATCGTTAAAATCAGACGATGCATCTAGTGTAAGGCGATTTCCAACTAGATGCAACTAGTGAGAAATCGACTTCTTGAGAAACAGTAATTATCGTTTTGCGCCATGATCTGACAAGTCTGCCAAAGACCTCAAGATGTTTTCGCACTCTACACAATCTTTCATTGTGGAGTAGTGTTTCACGTAGTATTTTGTTTCCAAGACTTCCTGCAAGAGTAAGCGTTTGTATTTTCATCGCAGTTTTTGAATAACCAACAGACGACGACCATCAAGTGTAACTAATTGTCCATCAATATCAGCTACTTTCAATGCACTTACTGCTTCATGGTCATCTGAAAATTTATTCCAATTCCATGTGCCATCTTTCATTTTTGTTTCATAACTTATACTGGTATAGGATACAGTTGATTGTGAAAAATTCAATGTCAATTTCAGCGTAACTCTAGTTTGATAGAACCAACATTTCCTAGAACTTTCGTCAAGATTTTACATAAGCTAACGAAACGCTTTCCACATGGAGGAAGGAGCTTAACAGGGCACAGTGTCAATGAACGCCATTCTTGTCAAAAATATTTTAATAGTAGCTGAATTATTGCGAAGAAGACCGCAGACAACCCACACTTGAGTTCTGTCATTCGTCAAGGTAACTTTTGATAACTTTACTAGATGGCAAAAAAATTGTTTTTTAATATTTGAATAGATCTCACGAGGGAGGTCCACCAACTTATAAATCGTTTTTCAGTCAAAACCTAATTGAGTATAGGTAATCAACTATGCTGATTCCGAATATCACCATGACTGCTGCTGCTAGGTCTTCAAAGATCGGTTTTCTGGAAAACCAGCTTTTTAGAAACTTTAAAAAATAACCAAAACC